TCACTCCTAACCCCTGCTTCCCTCCTGCACACAGGTAGGGAAACTGACCTGTATGCATGAAGCAGCTGTCATTGCTGCTCACTCTGTCTGGGATTGCTGCTCCTCAGCACCACAGGCTCCTCAGAATTTCTGATGAGGGACCAAGGAGCAATGTCGGAGCTTTCTGCATCAAGGTCACATTCCCTGCTTGGGCTGCATAACAAGAGGGCATGAGAGCAGCAGCTAAGCCGAGATAGGGAAAGTGCTACCAAAAACCAAAGCTGGCCAAACCAACAGCCATGTGCGGCTGCCACTAAAAGCGATAGACCACACTATTACTATTATTATTAGTTAATCCCCCCATTACTCATATTAACTACCAGGGCTTGAATTACATTTTTACATTTTTTAAAAAAATTTATAAACTGTAATACATTGTATTTACAGTGTCATAATTCATACTAGCCTTGCTAGTCCTTTCCCCTCAGGCAGAGAGGCACAGAGACTAGGATCAGGACCAACTGTGGCCCCCAAAAGACCAAACCCAACTCTCCAAATTGAACCATATCCACCTCCCTCCCCAGACCAAACTAGACATGACCTGCATCTCTCCCTAGACCAAACTCCTGAACTAGAGCAGACCTGCATCCCTCTCCAAACTGAGCCCAACCAGACCTCGATCCTTCACACACAGGTGAAATGGCAAACACATTTGAAATATAGGTACTTGGTCAATATTCATTTTAATTTCAAATACAGAAATGATACATGCACACAAATATGATTATCCTATTATGCACATCATAACTTTTCCAGAGATACCTTACTTGGCACATTTTATACAAGATTTGTTGCAATTATATAACAATGGTAATAACAATGATTTACATAATTATGTTTTAATCATCATGTTACAATAGTCTTACTCTGTCAATTAGAAAACAATAACCATTTCAGCATAAAAGTCTCAGAAGGGTAGCCATGTTAGTCTGAGCTCTTTTGGAAAAAGGCTTCTGCCTCGTAGAAAGAGGTTTACCAGAAATACCCTACGGTGCAGCAGTTTTAAAACAAACAAAAAGAAGTTTTCCTTCGCTCGGCACATAAGTCAAACTGTAGAACTCCTTGCCAGAGGATACGGTGAAGGTTAGAACTTTAACAGGGTTCAAAAAAGAGCTAGATAGATTCATGGAGGTTAGATCCATCAATGGTTATTAGCCAGAATAGGTAGGAATGGTGCCCCTACCCTCTTTTTCTCTGGAAGTGGGTGACATTGCAGAGATCGCTTGAGGGTTACCTGTTGTGATTCCTCCCCCAGGGGCACCTGGTATTGGCCACTGTCGGCAGACAGGCTACTGGGCTAGATGGACCTTAGGTCTGACCCAGTATGACCATTCTTATGTTCTTATGTTCTTAAGCTATAGGACTACTTGTTGTCATTTTAGCATTAATGAAACTTAGTCTAAACTTGCCTGCACATTCTAAACATCATTCCCTATTCATTGCTAACATTAAAAAAAGTTTTCTCTGGGTAAATTTATTATTGTATATGATATTTTCTAATCTATAGGAGAAGAGTAGAAGGGATTGTGCTGTTTTATTTACCAGCCACAAGATGTTACTATTAAAAGAAATGAGTAAGGCTGAGGAATAAAGGCAAACCATGAGCGGAGGTTTAGGTAACAAAAAGGGAATATATTTGGACAAGTGCTGCATCTGTGACCATCATACTGTTGACCAGAGTACAATATATTTTCCTGACTACAATGGTACAGATGTACATTAAGGTCTTGGTCCTGCCCACCAATTACAAATCTATCATGTGCAGTTTATAAGTACCATATAAAGTGGCTAATGGGGTTAGAAAATGTTAGCTGTATAACATGCTAGCTATTCTCTTAATGTACTTGAAAATTTGACTGGATTTTATTGTGGCATCATGTAGTCAATAGATACTTGAAAGTAAATGATGGTATTCTCACACATGATGCAGTGTATATTAATTCTTTATGATATAATAAAATGCTGAACAACAGACAATATTGAAATAAAAAACAGTTCAAGAGGGACTGGAAGAGACTCATTTCTGAAAATGAATTCAGTCCTCTTCAGTTGGTAAATTAGCAGGAGCATCCAAAGCAGCAATGACAGCAGGGGTCTGAAACTGTAATTTATTCATAATTGTTCCTTGGGGTTGGAACTGAAACAGGAATTAGTAAGAAATCTGACTTAATTTATTGGAGGCCATACTTTATAAAATATTCATTATGAGTCTGATCCAAAGCCTACTGAAATCAATGGGAGTCTTTCTACTGACTTTTCTGGATTTGAATCAGGTCTTCTTTGTCTTTAGGGAGACAGAGCTGCTCACATGTCTTGGTAACCTGCACAATGTGGTTCTGAAGACAAGAGCAATGTAATAGGATGATATGATCATAAGGAAATGTTAGTCCTGGCCAAAATTCAAATTACAAAGTGTGTGTGTGTGAAAGAGAGTGTCTAAAATCCAACATTCCCAGGGGAAACATATAGATAGAAGTATAGGATTAAAAATCTATTTTCCCATATGTGATTCAAAAAATCTGACCAGTTATTTAAAAGATAAATGGTCAAATCCTCGTTCTACTTGAAGTCTTTGGGAGTTTTGTTGTCGAGGATAATGGAAATATGATTTGGGCCATAGGCTCTTGATGCAGGTAGCTTTCTTCAGTCCACGTGCAAGTTTTCAGGAAGGATCTATGTTTATGGAATAAGGGTTTAAATTATTTAGTGTCTCAGGGTACTTCTACATAGCAGTGTTATTTTGGAATGACTAACGTTATTCTGAAATAACATAGTCCATGTCTAAACAGCAAACTGTTATTTCAACATGTCAAAATAATGTCAAGCTAGAGGACTCCTTACTCTGACTACAGTATCCCTCATTTTATGAGGAGTAAGGGAAGTCGGAAGAAGAGTGCTCTTTTTCAGACTTCCTGCTGTGTTGACAAAGGAAAAAAACTGATTTCTTAAGCTATTTTGACTTAAGCTACGAAATTAATGTAACTCAAGTTGTGTAGCTTATTTCGGCTTTAGCCTTGCTGTGTAGACATGCCCTAAGTGATACAGGAGCATTAATTCCATTTTTTGTCAAAGCAACCAAGTCATTTAGCAGCCAAAGTACATTTTAATTAATTTAGGGTTGTGTGACTATGTCTACATTGCATCCTTAGCTCAAAATAAGCTGCACAATTTGAGCTATGCAAATTGTATAACTTAGTTTGAGTGTATTTCAAAATAGCTTATTTTGTAATTTGGCACTGTCTATACACTGCCAAATTTCAAAATAAATCACTATTCTGAAATATCCCTTACTCCTTGTGGAATAAAGTTTACAGAGATGTCGAAATAGCACGCCCATTATTTCGAAAGATATTTTGAAATTATGGGTATGGTCTCAGGACATGAAATAACTATTTCAGGATATGGGAAGTATCCCAAAATAGTGCTGTAGTGTAGACGTATTCATATATATGAATTTTAAAAAGGGGATTTTAGACCCTAAAATACTTAGGCACTTTTGAAAATATTACCTTGGATCTTATTAAGAATTAATGGAAGATTAATTTGTTGAATTTTTTTTTCTGTGAAACTCATCAATAATTTTTTTCCCTTCATCTTCTAAAAAGTTTAGGCAAGGTTTTAAAGATAGCCCATTTAAACAAATGCATTAAAAGAAATGCACTTTTTTCTTATGAAAGACAGAACTGAAATGGTTTCATTGTATAATTTTAATTTTCTTAAGTTCTAAATTATTACAATTGTAATTAGTTCTTCTAACCTCAGGTATGCATTTAAAAATAATGAGAGAGTTGTGAGAGTCTCAGTGAGAGAGTATCAATGGTAGTTCAATCAGAATTTAAAATAAAAGAAGAGTATTTTCGCCTAGCAATCTCCTTAAGGAGAACATAAAAATAATGTAGTAGCTTTATCATGTGTTACAGCTTCAGTGAAAGAGCATCGTCAATCAAAATTCAATGTCCATTATTTTTCTTTTCGTATCACTATACGCTCTTTTCATAACATTTTTAGACATTTAATCTGGACCCATTGGTGCTAGTAGGAATCTTTACAGTGACTTTAGTGAAGTTTCAACCAGAACCAAGAGTTTCAAGAAAAGCTCAAACCAGAGTAGGAGTTGCATAATTAATGTTTTAATGAATGTGCAGGAACATGCTAGCCATATTTGTTTAATCTTGTACTGCAGTGAAGGCCCTTGCTGTACAATCTTCTGCAATACATGTAAACTATTCTATCTAAAAAAATTGAGTTTTGGTATAATTGAAAATCATGCAAATAATAGGAAGTTCAGGGTGTTTACATTTTGTGGAAAGTTTTACTTCCTTTAACATCTCTTCAGTTCTAAGTGCCAGCTCTTGAAGTGTTGTAGTTATTACATCCAATACTAAATAACACAAGTAGTGTGGTTGCCACCTAGTATCAGCCATTTGTAGCTCACCAAGTAGCTTTCCTCAAAATGTTCTTAATTGGTAAT